CGCCCCGGGGCCGTCCCGACCTCACCCGGGTCGTTTCAACCTCACTGGAGCCGTTTCAACCTCACCGGGGCCGTCCTGACCTCACTGGTGCCATTTCAACTTCACCGGGGCTGTGCTGACCTCACTGGGGCCTTTTCAACCTCACCAGGGCCATTCCAGCTCACAGATGCCATCCCAACCTCACTGGGGCAGTCTCGACCTCACTGGGGCCGTCTTGACCTCTCTGGGGGCATCCCGACCTCACCAGGGCCGTCCCAGCCTCACTGGAGCCATTTCGGCCTCACCGGGGCCATCCCGACCTCACCGGGGGCGTCCCGGCCTCACTGGGGCAACACGAAGTTTGGCACACTGTCCCCTGCTGGGCGGCTCCCCACCAGACAAAATCTCCAGGCGTTCCTGGTGGCTGAACATCAGGCACGCCTGTTCGGACTTCACCCTCCACCAAGTGCACAGACTGCCCGCCTGCCATCCCCCAGCATCCCACGCAAGACTGGAACCGGTGGGCTTGCTTGTGCGCCTGCTGGTACGGCAATTCCACATTGGCCTCCCCCGAACCCGATTCGGCCCCCTGAGCGTGTCCCTCCTGGATGCGAGGAGCCAAAATCTGCAGCCTGCTGAGTTGGACCCTGTACTTGGTGCTTCTGCACATCCTACTCAGTCTCAATGCTCTTCTTTCTATGCAAGGAGTTGAAATCTGCAGTTTGTTGGGTTGGGCTCTGTACTTAGTGTCTCTGCACGTCCTACTCAGTCTCAATGCTTTCTTTCCTTCCAGTTGTAGAGCTTTCACTGGGCCAGCTTCCCCATGGTTCTGTGTGATAGCTGTTTGTTCTGTAGTTGGTAATTTCGATGTTGTTGTGGGAGGCAACATGCACAGGTCTGTTCTTTATGCCATCTTGGTTCTCCTGGGTCTGCTTCTTGAGTGTGTCTCCCATGGGTGCGAGGAGTTGAAGTCTGTTGGGTTAGGCTACAAAAGCGCAGGTGGGTCTTTTTGTGCCCCTGGCACAGCTTGGATGGGGATGTAAATTGATTAGGGCGGGGTCTCAGGGAGTTGCCAGAGCGGAGCAAATAGCAGTGGCGGCATCTCCACAGCTCCTCGCCTCTCCGGGACTCCGGGACTTTGCGTCCCCCAGTGCCAGTGAGCAGCTGCACGCCAGAGCCTCCCTCGCTTTCTGACTGCTGTAAGGCCCTGCCACCTCTCCCTGTGGGGTCTGGGGCCTCATGATCCCACCCAAACCAGCTCAGTGGATTCAAGAGTTTGTGAAAGCGCAGGCGTTTCCTCTTGTGCCTCTGGCACAGCCTGGATGGGAATGTAAATTGAGTAGGGCTGGGCCTCAGGAAGCCGCCAGGGCGGAGCAAATAGCAATGGTGGCGTCTCTGCGGCTCCTCGCCTCTCCAGGACTCTGGGGCTTGGCCTCCCCCAGTGCCGGCGAGCAGCTGTGCACCAGAGCCTTTCTCGCTTTCTAACCGCTGTAAAGTGTGCCGTCTCTCCCCGTGGGTTCTGGGGCCTCCGAGACCCACCCCGAGCAAGCCCAGAGGATTCGAGAGTTCGTAACCCCTTCTGATTGAAAAAGAAACCACACATCCAGTTGCAGCCTGCCTGGCGCGTGACTGTGTACCTCTGTTTTTGGCACCTCTGTAGCTCCTACTCAGTCTCACTGTGCTTCTTTCTTTCCTTCCAGTTGTAGAACTTCCACTGGGCCAACTTCCCCATGGTTCTGAATGGTGGTTGTTTGATCTTATAGTTGGTAGTTTCAATGATGTTGTGGGAGGCAGTGTTATGCCTAGATTTCAGGATCCCCAAAAGACCACCAGGGAGCCAGCTGAGTCCGATGCAAAAGCAAATAGTCTTTATT